TCTTTTCAAGCACACAAGATTTCGAAATCTTGTGAGGCACTCCCAGCAAAAAGGCTTTGTTTGGTGGTCTGGTAGCTGTTTATTTCTAGCATCAATTACGAGATTAGAAATTCTACCAGATAAGGGAATTTACGCAAGCAGGAGTGAATGAATAGTGGGTTAGTGTGCTCATAACTGTTGATTTGAGGCAAAGAAGAATTTTAAATATTTTTCCCCATTATACCAGATAAATGAACCAGTTCCAATGGCAATGAAACTATAGCAATATTTACACTACCTTTTTCAAAACGTGCCGAGAACGATCCAAGCACGGTAACCAAGATAACTGCAGAGTGTAAATGGAATGCAAAACTGAACCGGACAGTGCCAGACACAACAGAACCGCGCTAACATGGTACTTGTTCATCAGTAGGGCTCAGTTTAGGCTCGGTTCTCTGATAACAAGGAGCACATGAGCAGACCGCATCATCTCCTATTTACAGTCAGCTTCCAGTAGTTGGCAGTATTGCACATTAGTAAGTTGCTTGCCAACCGCCACAAAACAGAAGAAGAAGAACTGTAAACATCGGCCGTTTCTCAATATGTGTACTTGTGCGTTCTCGTGTGCTTGTGAAACATCATCAGCCTAAGCCCTAGCACTGTTCCAATTCACAAGAACAGCAGAGAATGGACAAAGTCCCCGGATGTTGTTCTCGCCCCTCCCTATTTACCAAGCATGCATCAGAGCAGACTTGTCCGTTCTTGAGATTGACAGCTGTCCCAGCATGCACTGCGACAGCAGCAGCATTAAATGGAGCACTCACAGAGCTCAGAGTATTATGTTAAAAGTTCTGTTTTCTGTTTCTGTTGTTCACTAAAGGTACTTTTTAGATTATTCTAAGCGAGAACATTATACTTTTAAACCTCACTATATGGTCCATTTAACGATTTAATGCGATATTTAAAAAACAAATTCCGAAGTTGAGAGGACGGCGGCAACAAGCGGACTTCCGAGGCTAAACGCAGCCAGTTCTAATCCCAGCCCATGTGCAGCAGCCCTCTCTCAGCATAGCTGAGTGTGAATTACCGCTGACTCTGATGGCGGTTTTTTGTTACATTTGGCAAAATGTTGACTTGATTTGTGTTTGTCTGACTTTGTTAATCATTATTCACCCAAAAAAATGAAAAAAGTAAGAATTTATTATCTAGAGACTATTAATAACAGGAGGTGAAATGCAGCTCCAGACGAGCTGAGCGTGTGGTGATGTCACAAGTACACTTCTGTTCCAACTGACCCATATCTATGCTGCGTGCTCCCGTTCTCCCTGAGTCCAGACTTTCCTGTGTTCTTCTCAAGAACATACTTAGAGAGGACACAAGTCCGTACTCACGTTCTTGTGAATTGAGAAACGGCCAACAATTGAAATCTTCTCAAGATTACACTTATTAAAGGGCTTTTAAAGAGCATGGTGCGACCTGGGATGACGCCAAGACTGAGGCTGTTATTGCGATTTGGACGCAAACCAGGCAATGTTGGACCGAACGAAACAAAATCACATAAGTTTTCCTACTAGAGAGGAGTAGTACCGTCGATCAGCAATAGGAGGCGAGGAACCGTGCTAGCGTGCTGTGTAAATTGTTGTAAGGAACTAAGCTCGGATAACTGATCCAAGCTCAGTCCGAACTCAGCACAGATTGGTTTTCAGAAGGTTAGTTTCAAAGGAGCTTTTGACACAGCATAATGCTGCCACCACCATGATTGTAAAGCTTGCTACTTCAGTGCAGGTTTCTTAATCTATCTTTTATCTATTTATCTAAAACCTTTATGTGGAAGGAATTAGGCTTGTCCAAATGGTTATCTGCTCACTTCAGTTATGTCTGAAGGTGTTTACTTTGGAGCAAGAGCATCTTTCTCTCGTCACCCTAAGAGTCCGTGACGATTACTGGGTAGCTTCATGGGGGGGCGGAGCTTTTCCAGCAGTTTCTTGTTGATGCCAGACTTGCTTCTTGGTGGTTTCTGGCTAGTTTCCGAACGTCTTTACCTTTCTTTATTTTTTCCCGGGGAAATGAATTTAGATCTTCTTCCAGAAGATAAGGTAGATAAGAAACACCTCTGATCTGATATCTGGCATGTACAATGTTGTTTAAAATGACGGTCTTGATATTAGCAGGTTTTTATTTTTATGTCTTGAATTGTATTTCCCATCCCAACTCTAAAGCAACACTTGTTCACCGAGTCCTTTTGATTTCCCAGTATTTCTGTAAACAAATCTCTGCTATGCTTCCCTGCTTAAATCCTTTTAAAGGTATAAGACTTCAGTATTTGCAATTTAAAACACTCATTTAAATATTCATGCAAATCTATTATGAATTTTACATAACATCAACAATACACTCAAATAGGTGCATCACTGTCTACATTTCCAATATTTTATTATTTAGAAGTGGGATACAAAATGCACTTTGCACTAATAGTGACTTTACCTTCTCATTATAAGGTTCATCTCTCAACACCTCAGGAGCCATCCAGAAAGGAGATCCAACCACTGAAAGCTTCTCTCCTTCAGCACTAAATAAAACAGATAAAAAGGATGAAAGCTTAAATTCTGCATCATTAGACTGATGAAAGAAATTATCTGGTACAGAATGTAAGCACAGGTACATTAGGAACTGGATGTTCTGTTTTGCTTGGACACTCCTCTGTTTAAGCAAGAGGAGTGTCCAAGGAGCCCATTCATGTTTCAAACAGACCAGAGTTTTAACTCTAATTAATCCCAGCTCTGAGAAATCTTCACTTTGGTTTCATTTAGATCTAAAATGGATTTATTTTAATCAGGTGCATCATATCCAACCTGCAGCGTAAAGACAATTACAATGCAAGTATCTATGTATATAATGGCTTCTGTTTATGTCTTTTTGTTAAACTTGAATGTTTTTTGTTTTTTTTTGTTTAACAGTGTCCTGTCGAGCAATGTGGCAATAAGAATAATTGTCTTCATGCCAAAAAAAGGGCCAAACAGATTTCAGTGGCGCAGTACGGCTATCGCCATAGTGTTCCGCTTGATTTGTGCATGTAAAAAGCTTTATTATGAATATGCAGGGAGTATTACAAATCATATGGACACTGCAATGTAAGTAGAACAGGATGGGAAAAACAGAAAAAAGGAGAAAAGATGAAAGAGAGAAGAGATGAAAGGGAGAGAATGATAAAACATTTGCACTAGGCGTGTAAAACACACCCATCAAGGCGATTCGATTCAGTATCAATTTCCTGACCCAACAATTTGATTATTTTCGATACTCAAAAATACACCATGATTCGAATAATTTACATTTTTTTCCCCTTACAGGCTAGACAATGTTTCAATTTTGAAATAAATCAATGAAAGCTGTAATATCGTTACGCATTTTATTTGAGAAACAACAGCAAATAACAGAAGTAGCAAAGTTGTACTCCACCTAGGCCAATGAAAACGTCATTTACTGAAAAATAATGTGTTTACATGGGTGTGTGCAAGTGGAAAGAGAGTAGTGGCTAAAGGAAGCGAGGTAGGAGGGCAAAACAGGTTTAGCGCCACCGCAGCACGGGAGTCAGAATTACGTCCAGGAGCAGCTGGATAAAAATAGTCCAGAGAAAAAAAAAAACATGAACCGATATTCTTGCGGACGCGTCGATGCATCGGATTGTCGGCCGTTGGATCAGTGCATCAATACAAAACTAATATCATTTACACCCTAGTCTGCACCTGCAAGGAGAGATGTACAAAAACAACAACATACTTGAATGTTTGAGATCATCCGGTTTCAATATCGCAAAGATCATAACTTCAGTATTCAGATGATGATTAGATGCATGAAGGAAACGCCATTCTCCAAACCATCCAGGAAAGGAAACATAAAACTAATAACTAATATTCTGCTGAGATTTTTTCACATTTTCATATTCAAGTCTTTGATTAGGGAACTTGAAAACCTACCTTTGGACGCTGAAACTTTAGCTCAGGGTTTCTCATTTTGTTGAAAGTTAAACACTGACAATGCCTGAGGCAAGTGGAGCCTTAAGTGCATTAGATGTTTTTTTGGATTCTTGGTTTTGCTCTTTCTAGATAAGATAAAGAAGCATTCAGGGTAAATCTGACAGGGTGCCACTCCTGCATAGTTTCACCACCGTTCCATGTTTCCTGCACCTGTGGATAATGGCTCCTATCGTGGTTCGCTGGAGTCCCGAAGCCTCAAAAAATGGATTTAAAACTCTTTACAGACAAATCAAGTTACTCTGCTTTTCTTCTCTTTGTGAAATTCTTTAAAATGAGGCAATACGTTTGTTTTTTTTGAGATCTTTTAGCCAACTTTATGTTGTCAAACAAGTTTGAATCTAATTATCTAATAAAACATTTTGTTTGATTACAACAGTTAAGTGTTACAAAAAAAAAAAAACAGAAACAGACAAACTCTGTAGAGGCGCATCTATATTTTTATATCACTGTTTACAGCCTAAATCTTTGTAGTAACACTTATTAACCTCGGGAGAATACCAGAGGACTTAACTGGGACGTTCATTTATAACTGTGTTCTTAAATACATTCCAGAGAGATGAAAGCAGACTCCCTGCTTCTTTATATTACTGCAGGATTATAAAGCAAAAACCCTGGGCTGGCAGGATCCTCCTGCAGAACACCGAGGCAGAGAATGTGAAGAGTAGAGGCGGCTTTTAGTGACCTATGTGCTAATAAATAACCCCGGGATGAGGAGGAGGAGGAAGAGGAGTAACTGAGCTGAGGCTGCTGTAGGAATGAAGAGCTGACATCAACAAAAAGATGATTAAGGAAATAAAATTCTTAAAGTGTGACATGTTTTCTCTGAGGGAACCTATAATGAGTGTCCTTTATTTGAAACATAAATAAGTATTATAAATAGATTTGATATTTAACAACAAGGTGGGAAATGAAGACAGGAATAAGCCTCAATAGTTTTTAGACTAAAGAGCAGATTAGACTTCACCAACCGCACACATCAAATGTCGCTTGCGTCTGGTCATGAACCAGTCTTGCTGGTATGCTTCTGCACCGTCGATCTGGAATTTCTAAGCACCCACAGCAGTTTCCCGCAACTTGCGAGAACTTCGGCAGGATGGTCACAAGAACAATCGTGCAAGTGGATTTACTTCCGAACCTCCTCGATCAACCTTTCATCGTAGTTATCCATTGTTCTTATTAATCCTCGGTTTTTAAAAATGGCGCGCCCCGGCACAGAATCGAGAAGGACGACCACACAGACAGCCGGAAAGGCATACCAAAGACCAACCAGAGCTGCTTTTTGTCTGCGCATACCCACTTGAATTCTGCGCGGGTTTGCGACCGTCCGACATGTAGTCAGGATTTTTTTTTTGGTGCACAACGACGGTTGCAGAGCCTCTGCACAGAGACAGATTTGACGGTTGGAGAGGCTATGCGTCAGAAGCAGAAGTTGGCCTTAACAACCTTTAACACACATTAGGGAGATAAAACAAAGCCGGTGTTCTGTCAGATGAGCATACCCCGTCAGCCCAGCATACCCATAGTCAATACCCGTTTATCTCTTTAATTTATCCTTTTAGTTTTTTATGCAAAATACACTTTAAACTACCTGAACAGGCGTGTATCCCTTTGGTCATGTACAAAAAACTATTACTTACTATTTGGTGTTTTTTGAAGCGTATGGCGATCTAACCTTAAATTGTCTTTTTTTTTGGTATGTGAATAAAGAGATCCGTGGCTGTCGAGGTAGTTTAAAGTCTATTTTTAGTACAAAACTAAAGGGATAAATGCAAATATGACGTCTTGCGTATCTTGTGTATTGACTATGGGTAAGCTGATGCTGATCTGATAGAACAGCAGCCTTCATTCTGAGTCCTCTTTTATATTCGGTTTTCTTTCCTAATTTGTTTTCTGGGAAAGAAACACGTCATTATGACTGAAACCTAAACTATGACTATGCCTCTTCTAGTTTTTATTTCTATACTGAAAATTCTCCCCTATGTCCCACAATCACTTTGACTCTTCTTACAGTTTGTTGGGGATCTTCTCTGCCAGGCCGAAATCTCCCACCACTGCCGTGTAGCCGTTGTCCTCACACTTGATTAAGCAGTTCTGTGAACACAGAAACCCCCAAAAACACAGAACGTTACCGGGGGAAGTTGCAGCACACAAGGATCAAAAAAAAAAAAAAAAAGAGCATTTTGTGGCTTTGGATTGCCAACCAAACCTATGGTTCCTATTTAGAGTAATTGCAGTGAATTTCAAGCTCAGATGCTTCCTTCCTCATGGGCCTAATGTAAATAATCAACCACTAACAGGAAACTCTAAGCAGCAGAGCAGCATAAGCATGAATGATGCTTTTCTTTCAGACACTAGTCTCTATGATTAATAATCATTGCACCTACTTAGCTGAGCTTCATATTATCGCCGCTTATAGCCACAGCTTGTTTATAGACAAGGTTCTAAAATAGACTTTGTTTATGATCCATGCATACTGTACAAGGCACAACTTAAATCTCATCATTCCTTCTTTCCAAACTCAGTCATTTGCTAAAGTCAAATACTGTTAGCTTCTCTGAGAACAACATTTTTATATCCTATCTGAGGAAGTTAAAGCCAAATGACTTTAAATGATTTGATGAACTATAATGTTTGTAAGTCTATTTAGCCCCAAATTACTAAACAAAGAACATTTAAGGTTTTCCTTTACAGATAAAAGTCTGGGTTAATTTCAGCTTTAAAAATTAATATTACACCTTTAAAAAGAAAAGCTGAAAAATCTCAGAAAAACTTGTTAACATTGAAATTTGGTCACTATCTGCATTAAGGACAGAAACACCTTCTAGTTGTGAAAATCTATTTTGAAAGAAAAACATTTTTATTGGCATTTTTAACATTTTTATGAAGGTAAGTTGGGCATTTCTTTTTTTAATACTTGAGGTTTGCAGGATCTGTTAATAAAAGTTGCTATACTCTTCTGCTCTGAACATAACTACTCACTTTCTTACTTTTTTATGACTTGGAATCTTAAATACATCAAAATTTTACATTTTGGTGTTTTTTTTATCTTATAAAAATATCTACAGCTCTTCTGTTTTAATCTCCAGGGGTAAGGGGGAAATGGCTGTGTCTGGGAAAAAAATTGCTAAAGCATGGATAAAGGATTTCTACTGTACATCAGTGTATGCTTTTATTTTGGAGGGGCATTGCTTAATTTTTTAACTACTTAAACCTTCAGTTTTTGATAAAGCTTATAGTAAGAGTGGCTCACGTTATCCTGAGCTATCTCTATAGTTATGCTGCTATAGGCTTAGACTGCTGGAGGACATAGAGGACTCTATTTCATCATTATGCTTTATTCTATCTCTATTCTCCTCCTCTGCAGAATCTGTTAGTTCAATCTCTAATGTTATGCTCTCTCTCCTTTTTATCATAGTCTGTACCATAGTCGTCTGTTCCTGTTTGGCTGTGACACCATCATGGAGAGAAATATCAGCTGTGCTGCTTCCATCAACACTTTGTATATAGATGTTGAAACCCAGTCGGCCTCAGCAGATGGCCGCTCACACTGAGCCTGGTTCTGCTGGAGGTTTCTTCCTGTTAAAAGGGAGCTTTTCCTCTCTACTGTTGCTACAAGCATGCTTAGTGTGAGGGATTTTATTTAAGTCAACAAATCGATGCAATCAACTGGTTTTCCTTGGATAAAAAACCTTTAATCAATCTAACTGTATGATCTGGTTGAACTGTAAAGTGCCTTAAGATGACATTTGTTGTGAATTGGCACTATAGAAATAAACTGAATTGAATTGAATTAAAGATGGAAATAATTTCCTGGGGATGCTACAAACATGTTATTCCCCAGAAATCAAACTGCATCCAATACATCCCAGTTATTTATTTAATTGTAGTGAACTGGGCTGTATGATTTGGTAGCAATTAGAACACATTAAACTGAAAGGGGTCACGCAGACGGGTAGCGATGCCCTGTGACTGCACCTCCAAGATAGACCAGGGCTCTATTTTGGTCAGACCTTCACTGGTATTCGATTATCTATGTATTGTTATGAGTCAGACAGGAAATGAAAAGTAGTGTCAAAGTGAGATAGGGCTGAAATTAAATGTTTTAAAGAAATTGGATCAGAGCCTGTGGAGCAGGCAGTGGATTTTGATGATTAAATCCTTAATTTCTTACAAATGATGAACAGGGATGAAAGGTGACACAATTTCTAGCCCCGTTGCCTTTTAGCATTAAGTCTTGGGTTCAAACCCCAGCCTGGGTTATTTCTGCATAGTCAGTGTGGTTTCTATCCGAGTAATTCAGCTTCAACCTCTGGTCTAGAAAGATGGTTCTTTAGTTTATTGGTATGTCTCTGTGTTGATAGACAGACTGTTACCTGCCCTTTATCCAATGAGCGCTGAGAGAGAGCCCTTCCAGGATAAGTGGGTATAAAATGAAGGAAGGATGATGAAAAAAGAGCTAAGCTGTTGTTCTAGTACCCTGGATTTTTATTTCCGTTTGGTCCTGGATCAGATCTGAACTTTGACTTTTTAACTGTAGAAGCTACAAACAATGACCAGTTAGCCTCAGCTAACCTTGGAGGTGAGGTCCCGATGGAATATGCCTTTAGAGTGCAAATACGCCACACCGCTGGCGATATCACAGGCTAGCTTCACCCTCGCCGGCCAGCTCAGGTGCTTGTTGCTGTCTAGAAGCTGCTCCAGGTTTCCTCCATTAATGTACTAAAAAAAAAAAAGAAAGGAAAAAGAAAAACAAACAAAATTTAACATGTGAAAGAAAAAAATGATTTCAGAATTCTGCCAAAAGTGCACACAAGTAATAATATGAGCCGTTTTATTTAAAACACACAGACACAAACTGTTCCTCATGAGCAGTTTCAATGTTTTATGCGTGTAGATTCCCTCCTACTCTGGACCTGTTTCTAATGGCAACTTTGGTAACTTGAAGGTGGAACCAACCGGTAAAAGTAAACTGCTTGTGATTGGCTACTTATCAGGAAATCCCACCTTTACTGTTTTGTTCTTGTTGCAACTAGAGCCATGAAGATAGGAGAGTTTAAACAAATCCATCTGTGACAATTGGCAACATTTAAAGAGCAATGGAGATGCACAGAGCTTCAGCAGTTTGTGGGTAGTTAGCCGCTCATGCTAGCATTGCCATAGACAGTAGCACGCCATGGCAGCTGTGCATGGATGCATCTATAGTGTTGCATGGTGGACAGGTAAGGAGTTCAAAGAAATAATGGTTTACATCAACTTCTCAGTGGTTCACCCTTTTAAAGCTAAGTTTTGCAGGAGTTATAACCACGTTGGCTGCTGTTAATACCAATTAAGGTTATTAGTGTTTTTATATATGGAAGCCGAGAGCGGTCGTGTCCCTCAGATACTTTTTCATAGTGGTTTTCTCGAGAAAACAAATGAATTTTCTCATTATAATGATGATTTTTGTGTGTTAAAACTGATTAAATCCTTCAATACCACAACGGCGGCAGAGGAATTATAACATTATTATTATTATAACGAGATAGTTATGTCGTTATCTCGAGAAAACAATTAATTGTTAAACCGTGATAATGAGATAATTTTGTTGTTATATCGAGAAGGCAAAGGAAAAATGAGAAAGTTCACTACGACTGCTCTCGGCTTCCGTAGTTATTATGTCATCAATTAAATGTTCATGTTTGTATCCTATGTAAACATAAATTGTATTTATTNTCGAGAAAACAATTAATTGTTTAACCGTGATAACGAGATAGTTATGTCGTTATCTCGAGAAAACAATTAATTGTTTAACCATGATAACGAGATAGTTATGTCGTTATCTCAAGAAAACAATTACTTGTTAAACCGTGATAATGAGATAGTTTTGTTGTTATCTCGAGAAGGCAAAGGAAAAATGAAAAAGTTCACTACGACTGCTCTCGGCTTCCGTAGTTATTATGTCATCAATTAAATGTTCATGTTTGTATCCTATGTAAACATAAATTGTATTTATTGACCTTTATTTAATCATGACCCAACTCTCTTATTATAACGATAGCAAAGCAACTTCAGGCTAATCTTTTTCTTCTTCAAGGGGAGAATTCCGACTCTGTTATCAACTGATAGCTTTGTAAACAAAATGCTAGACACTAAAAAAAAAATGCTTAACAGCAGATGATTAGAAACGTCGATGTCTGTTCAGCTGTAAACGAGAGTTCATTCAAGCCTCACTTTCCTTGTACTAAACAGTGAGGCTCCTGCTTATGACATATTGGTGGGGCTGATGGTATTAAATATGCTCGCATAATGCGCATGCACACAGAATATTACTGTATTGTTTAACATTCCCAGAACTGTATAGAAGAGGATAATCCTTTAGAATACATATTAAGATAGAACTTTAACTCTTTTAGATTTTGACTCTAAAAGATTTGTTTGCCTTCTCTTACATTAAGATGTGTTGTTCTATCAGATTAGCATACCCCATCAGACCTATAGTCAATATGCAAGCCGTCAGATTTTCATTTATTCCTTTTCGTTTTGTAAGAGAAATACACTTTAAACTATCTCGTCGGGCGTGTATCCCTTTAGTCATGCACAAAAAAACAATTCAAGGTCAGATCACCAGGCGCTTCAAATAACACCAAAAAGAAATTCATTAAATAGTTTTTTTGTACATGACTAAAGGGATACACGTCTGTTGAGGAAGTTTAAAATGTATTTTTCATACAAAACTAAAGGGATAAATGGGTATTGACTATGGGTATGTTGGTCTAACCGGGTATGCTTATCTGACAGAATATCATCATCACTGCAGTTTCAAAGAACCGTCGGGATGCGATCTTCGGTAGGATTACTTTTCAACCATTGGGGAACCTAAAAATAAAGTTCAGCCAACTTGATGGACTCTAACTGCGGTTAACACATGATGCATATCCTTAGTGGATGAAGTGCTACGGCTCACACAGGGTGGTAGGATCATTGCAAAAATGGATGACTGCCTAAAAACCCTCATCAGCAATATATTAATTGATATTTTAAGTACGGTAGTTATTTCCTGACACTGTGCGGCTCTACTTGCATTTAACGCCTTTCAGCCAAGAACTACACGTCTCTCCTGACTTGAAACTGAACCCTATTATATCATGCACCTAAATATACAGACTGACTGAAACTACACTGAAGTAATAACACATTTCACAGAGCACAGGACTGAGTTGTTGAAAGTTGAAAAATGTGTAGACAAAATCTACATCAAAAAGGATCAGGCCACTGAATGCTGCAGACATGACAGAACAAGTAGTTTCTCATATATAAACATGGAGTATCTGAACAAATATAGACATTAAATAAGAAGCAAAGAGATTCATTTAACTTCCTTTGGTTAAAAACAAAAAAAAATTGGGTTTGCCGCTTTGATCCTCAAACTTGCCTGACCTTCCTCCTGGCATGCAAACACCCTAATCCCATGTCACGTATCCTGAGCAGCTGTAGTTAACTAAAGAGAGCTGGCATGAAATAAAGAGATGGTCTGGTTAAGATGTGGTTACTGACTGACAGGCACAGAATTAGAGCAAAGGCAGCAACGGGTGGCGCTGGGAGGAGATCTCTGCTCTCAGACTCGTGTTGGTTTTACTGCTTTTCTAAAACACTTTGAATTGTTACTCTATTAAATTCCCGACAGCTGGATACAGATTCACAGTTTAAACCAGATATTCACATAAAATGTAAAACAACAAAAAACAAATAAAACAGTTATTGCTTCTCACTGTCTGACCATAAATCTGCTGCCTCTTTTATGTCAGGAAGGATTGAGATGAATTGTATTTGTCAAATGCCAGAATAACGAGAAGAAACTTTTATTGCTTTCTTCACATTTACAAATATTTCTTTAGTATTAGGAGGAATTGTCTTTAAATGTATGGAACTCTCTTTGAGGCAATATCTTACAATAATTTAGTGGAACGTTGATGTTTTCCCACTGACAGAACTAGTCAGTTTTGTAGGCCAACTTGCTTAAAACAAACTTTTCAGCTCTGTCCACATTTATTTAAACACACTTAGTGGTGGTTCTAAACCACATTTACGCAGTGAGTCAAGTTGGGACAAGTGTTTTAATGAGTGCACAGAACAAAATCAGGACAAAAATAACAAAACATTAATTTTTGAGCAGACTGACACCTCAGTAATTCAGTTAAAGCTTTGTGCTGATCACTCAAAACACTGACTTGGTTATCCTTAAAGGTACATACACTATGCAACCGGTGTTGATTTTCCAGTGAGGGCAAAAGTAAAAGTGCACTGTCGTAAATATGCTCAGCTGTTCTCCTGGTTTCTCCGT